AAAAGCAACGTACCCTGGATTGGATCTAAAAGGATACCAACGTGAAAACTGGTAAAATCCGAACAATCTGTAGTTTAGTTAATAGTATTAAACCAATGTTAATTTGTTAGTTTTTACAAATTTGCCAAGTTAGGTAAGACATTAAAGGAATCTTGGTGAAGAGAGAATGTTGTAGTATCTTTACAACTTTTCTGTAAATCTAAAATTATTCCAAAATAAAACATTTGCCATAAATAAAAGAATTTCTCTTCAACAAAAGATACAAGAAGAAACTGGCATCAACTAAAATTGACAAAATTAATGTCTGAAATATACATGGAATTCCAATAAATTAATGAGAAAGACAAGAGTAAAATGGACAAGGCAATGAATAGACAATTCCAGCAAGAGAAATCCAGAAGACTAATAAGTATATGAAGAGATGTTTTCCCTCACAAATAACAAGAAATGTGCTAAACAAAATCAAGAAGTATATTCTCAGTTTGAGGAAAAAAGAGTTATGATGAAATAGAAAACCTAGTTCACTCCTGATAGGAGAGGAAAGTGGAACAGGCACTCTGGAGAGTACATTCACGGTACTACGTGAGATGAAGCATGGATTGCCCTCCAACCTGTAATCCTACCCTAGAGCTAACACCCCAGACACTTTCACCCATCAGGGTATAAGGACATGGGAAAGAATGATCCTCACAGCACTGCTCACAGCTGCAAAGCCTCGAGCCAACAATGGTGCCTGTAACTGGGGTTGTAAGCATCACATGCTGGACACACTCTGGACATGATACAACAGAAGAATTAGCCAGATGCACATTCACCACATGGATAAATCCTGGATAATTATGCCAAGTGGAAACAGTAAAAAGCAAATATATATATATGTATTTTGACCAATACATATATATATATACTGAAATACCATTTATATATATATATAAACACCGAAATACCATTTATATAAATTTAAACATCAAACATTTTAATGGCATATTCTCAACACATTAGTATTTACGTTTATGACATATCAAGGGGGAGAATAGGCATTGGGATAGGGTATGAAAAGGGCAACTACAAAAATGAACTAACACTTGGGCAAGACCATGAGCAGGTAGATGCCAAGAGCTCCTTAGGATGGTGACTTCAATTTGCACCTGAGATCCACACTAAAGAAAAAAGGGAGAGGGTGGCTCCAGATGGAGGTTTGAGGAGATCACCTTTCAGCTAAGAGCATGAATTTTCATGTGGATAAATGTGGAAACATCTATATTGTCCGCTCAGCAGCCCTGTTCCTTTACATACCGATTACAAAATAAGTCATCACTTAATGGCCAGATAAGTCATGCTCACACAAGCAAAGCAATGCTGTACTGAGTTTCATTATAATAAGATATACCTACAGTACAGCCTGACACTCAAGAGTAATTCTTTCCAAGACCTTTATGAATCCCTCCAATTCACAGATAACCACTATGGCACATAATTTCCCCCACAATATGCACATACAATGAGTGAAAACAACACTTTTTCTTCGGGTGCCTGGGGGCAAGTTGCCTGACGCATTTACTAGCTGTGCGACCCACCACCACGCTCCAGCATCCCAGCCAGCAAGTGAGATTCTAATTCATGCTTCAGCAAAAATACAAATTATAATACATTTTAAACATGGAGGGTCATTTGCAAATAATGAGAAATGCAAATTCTAAATGAATGAAAGTCCAGGGAGTACTGTACCCTGATGACCACTCTGCTGCCCTGGAAGAGTTACTGCAGTTTTTGAAAGTGTTTAATATCATCTCTGAAACAACGGAGGCCATGAGCAAAGCCTGCTCATTTTGACTGACGATCTGGCCTGTGGCTCAGACCACTGACTCTAAGCAAATCATAGAAGATTGAAATTCCAAAAGAAGATGTTGATTTCAAAGCTTTTAATGATTCAAATTTTCAATCAGCAGTTTTTAGTTTTTTTTTTTCCAGCTCATTACCCACAGACTCCATGGATCAACCAACGTGTGCAGCCCATCTCCTCCTTAATTCCTCTAGTAATACAATCCTGTCTATCATTTTACCTAGCCCTGGAAAACAAAGCCGAGATATACATGTTCATTTCACCTTCATTTACCTTGTCAGGATTCCAAAAGCTCAGGAAACAACATTAAAATAAAATCCCAGGATATCAGAAAGCTTCTAAAATGAAGCTGATCAAGCCAATGATTTCTTCACACAACTGAACTGATGATACATGGAAGGCAGGCTGGCAGCTCTGGCTGTGACAAAAAAAAAAAAAAGAGATACATGTGAAAGCAGAGGAAGAAGAGGAGACAGTCTTCAGCCTCACGTCAGAGTTGTGTCCATCTCAGTGTCATTCCCCCTCAGAATCTGGAGATGAAAATAACATGGCTTTGAAACATACATAGTCTATTCAGAAAAGCAGCCGACAATTACAAGTATGAAGCAGGACACGGGAATAGGTCCCTACTATGTAAAATTGCATGTTATTGAATTGATTGAGTTGTCATTCAGAAGAGGTGATTTTCGAAATGAAGCTAGTGGAGAAATAAATAGAGTAAAAATTCAGATAAAATTCATTCAAGTATCACCACTGATATCTGTGAAGCTAAAGGATTGCAGCTTGTGAAGGTAATGTCATTAAATAATGACACTGAAGGTCATTCCTTGTTACCCTTTTCTATAAATGATCCCACCTCTTCTTTGGCTCATTGACTGTCACTCAGCAGAGTCACTAGCTCACTGACACTCCCCTAGAGCCAGGCAGGGCCAGCCAGGCTTTGGTAATATTCTGAAATCCCCATGTTGTCTTAAAGGTCTCCTAGAACCCATTTCCCATGTTTTAGTCCCAACCGTGACGCACCCTCACCTCTGATGTCTCCCCTAAGATACTATTTACTGGGGATTGACCAGTTGGGGGATCTGTAGAGAACCAAAGCCCAACTTTAAGGCCTCCTGTGAGATAGACCACAGTAATACCTAGCAGGACTTCTATAGGTGTGTGGCAAATCCGTTCCATGAGGGTGATCTTGAGAGCCAAACAGGGGACCATCCTGGATTGTGTCTTATACATAGTAGATGCTCAGTAAAAATGTGTTTAATGATAGAAATAAAAATGAGCAAATGGCAGTTCCCTGAAATAGCAGGAGACTAAGGGAAAAAACAGCAATCAGCATTCCATTCTGGCAGGTCTGTCCACAGGAACAAAACCCCAGCTGGGAAGGGAGCATGGGGGACAGAGCTCAGCTTCCTGGAGGACAGGGCTGGCAAGGAAGTAGAAGGTTTCCAGGACTTCAGCCAAGGAGGCTGGGGATCGGAATGGGGCTCCAATCCCAACAGGGAATGTGAGTGTCGAATGGGGCCAACTCAGCAAGCTTAGAGGGAACATGTGCAGGCTCATCAGAACAGCGGGCAGGATCAACCAGGACTCAGCAGGGAGCACAGCAGAGAAGGGGCCCTCAGGGCCTGCCCCAACTGGGGAATGCTGACACCCCTCTCCAGTTCTTATCTCCCGCATTTCAAAACTGGCTTCTGTTTGGCAGTTAATGCAAGCCCCGACCCTAGTGAAAAGATCACTGACGAGGAGGCCTCATCAGAAGCACCAGACTCTAGTCCCAGCCCTGCCATGCCCTGAATGCACCCACAGGCAAGGCATTTAACTCCTTCAAGTCACAGATCCCTCCTCATAATTGGGAGCAATGATTAAATTTATTGCAGCATTTGTGGATAAAGGAGATTACACATATGGAAGTGCTCTGTAAAGAATGTAGCACTATAAATGTTGGCTATTTATGCATTAACCAGTAGTCCATGTTGAATCCAATGTTGAAACTGTCAAATTGAATTTTCTGGAATCATAGAAATAAAGCTTTAGTTTCTCATTCAAGAAATTTTAAGCATCAGGCAGGCAAATTGAGTTCTGCAAGGAGCGAGAGAGGCCTTCCCTGGGCCCCTGACAGCACGCTGCAGTTGGCATCTAACCGATACATTGCCACTTAGCTGAGCTCTGCTTGCAGCTGGGATCGGCAGCCTCCATATGAAGCACATCTAAGTATCTACTGCAGGGCATGTAAATAAAACCTGCACTAAGGTAAACAGTGGTTCAGTTTTACAGCCTATTCACACATAACTTTTATGCTCCATTATGATATATGGCTTCTATATGTTTGGAAGTCCTAAACATCGTTCTGTGTGGTGTCCTCTAAGTGACTGGTTGATAAACGGTTATTTACTCACTAGCTTTCACGGCCCATGAAAGCCTTTAAACTGGAACGCTGTCCCTAACTACCCATTAGTGATCATGGTAATTCTTCCTAATGGGATGTGAGCCAGTTATCTTGACAGGCTTCGCGGCAAGGGGAGGCAGGTTGGGCAGGATAAGAAGGAGCCCATGCTCAACCCAGGGTGTTTTGCTGCATTGCCTAAATCAAAGGCCACACCTACCATTGAGACATAACGTGGCATGTACTCCTAGCACACAGTGTGTCTCACATATATCCAGAGGATCCAAGGAAGTACTTGCGTGCTATAAACAGCATCTGGTACTGAATCAAGTGACTGAGCCTCCAATACCCGCCTTCTGCTGGTTTCACACCAAAATGACTGTGTTCACCTGCATGACACAGTCTTATGGAACAGACAAGGCAGTCACGTATGTTTGTTCCATTTCCTGGTGGCACCTGTGAACTCTTCTGTAATGTAGGGCAAATCACTTTTCCTCTCTGGGAAGGAAAAGCAGTCCACAGCTGGATAACAAAATGGGTCCAAATTTTGTTTGTAAGATTGTTGGTTGGTGTTTGCAAAGTATTTTTAATAGAAATTATAAATAGTAGTCTGGAATGTGTAATGGTTATTATAATAACAATAGTATTAAGTATTAATAGTATCAAGTATTGAGTGCTTATTACTTGCCAGAAACAGTACTAAGCATTTAATAGGTAATACTCATGATATTTATGGTAAACCCATGAGATTGATTTATCTTTCCCATTTCACAGATGAGAATACTGAGGCTCAGAGAGGGTAACGACTCGCCCAAGGTTACAAAGCAACAAAGCGGAGGCTCAAAGCCTGTGCTCCTGACCACTCCTCCACAGTCAGCAGTGACCCTTGTGTCCTTTATACTTTCCACATTTCCCAAACTTGAAAATGAATTGTTTTAATTGTATAAGCAGGAGGACATTTCTGGTTAGCTTTCTAAGCTAGCCATCAAACCTTGTTAGCTATACACAGCTGATGTATAAGAACACGAGTCTGAGCAGGGCACTGGGTGAAAGACAAGAAAGAACATGGAAAATGAGGATTCAGGAACAGAGGAAGAAGTCAGATATGGAAGAAGGAAGAGGGAAAGCAAGCAGAAATGGAAAAAAGGCATCCTCATGAAAGGTAATATGAAAGGAAACTGTGGAAGGAGGGTGGGTAAGATGGTGAAAGGCTTGGAATGTCAACTTAAGAGCTTTGGACTCTATTCCATCTCCAAAACCAGTGCCACTTTTTGCCTCATGTGGATTTCATAACACAAAGACGTAATGAATGTAAAACAGCTGTCGACTGGAAAACGGAGGAAGTGTTGGCACCTATAAAGACCAATTTTTTTTAAGCATGAGATTACTTAAGTGTCATATTTATAGTCAGAATCACCTTATCCTTTGAAGTAATGAAACAAAACGATTTTCACATTTTCAAAGTACTAATGAAAACCCAGCACACTAAATGATTGCAAATGCTTAGATGCATGTGATCAGGGGTCATCTCTTCTAGCGTGTTTATTTTTTAATAACAAATGCTTTGTGCACCATCCTCAACAGCATCTGACACTGTCTCTATGCTCAGCAGGTACTCTATAAACACTGGTGGCTAGAGTTTCCAGGCACAGCTCCAGACTCATCAGGTCACTGGAATATTAAGCAGAGAAACTGAGGCAGAAGCCCAATTGTGAAGCAGCCCAGTGGCATTTTAAAAGACTACCTCTTGGAGCCTGCTCAGGTATCCAGGACTTGGTCCATCACAAGAAAAAACTGAATACCAGGCACCTCCCCTGGCACAGTGGAGTTATATACTCATTGAGCACCCTGGGTGCCAGGCACTATGTTGATGCTGCAGAAACAGAGACACAGAAGACAGACTCCTGTCCTCAAGGACTCACAGGGAGTGGTGGGACAGAGCTTGTAGATGGGTGTCCATAGGTCCTACACTAAGGGCTGATTGAGTAGAGGTGAGATGGCGGGTACAGGGACCAGGGCAGGGACCCTCTTAGTCAGGCTGCAGTGATCTTCACTATCCCTCAGCAACTGTGCAAGAAAGGAGCCTGGTTTCCTGCATAAAGCTGAAAGAAGAAACAATATCTGCTTTAGCTTGGATTTGTTTTGACCATTGAGCCTGGCAGAGACTTAATGATGTTTCCACTTTATGTGGAAAGTGGTCACTTTCCAGCCCAGAAGGGCCCACCCTAGCTCTTGGGCTTCAAGCCCCATTCCTGAAGCAGCCCTCTTGGACATTCTTTAGCTTCTCAAAAGTACCATATTCTCTTTGGACTTATGCACTCCATCTTCCTTCTGATGGGCCTATTCTTCTCCCCTCACTCCCCTCTCCCCCTCACCTGGATAACTCCATTCTGCATTTCAGGGTCAGCTTAAGCATCATGTCTAAAAAGAAGCTTCTCTCACCCAGACCAGGTTGAACGCCTTGCGATCTGCCCCTTAGCACACTGTTGTTCCTTTTTCATAACTCTTATCACACTTGTAATTATGTGTTTATTGTCTCCTGCCCCTCTAGACCATGACCTGTATAAAGGCAAGGCTATATCTGCCTTGTGGCCCATTGTCCTCTTAGCATCAAGACAGGACCAGGCACAAAACAGATGTTCAATAGATCCTTATTGAATGAGGCACATCTCCATGGAAGAACAACTTTCTGACAATTGGTGTAAGTCCCTTGTGAGTTCCTAGAGGTCGGGGCCAAGCCTGACTCATCTTTGTAACTGGTGCCTTGCATTGTGCTGAAATGCTGTAGTCAGTGAACTCAAAGACGAAGTGCAGGGGAAGGGAGAGCATGAGGTGGGAATTCCCCATGCCAGGCCCTCCCCCTCTACCCAACCCCAGAAGATCAACTAAATTTCACCTACTATAGGACATCTTTCCTCTCCAGTCAGCTTCCTCTTCTCGACTCCTACAGGCCTTAATGTCTGTGCTTTTCAGTTAGCCCTTGTCTCACACAGCTTGTCTTTTCATCTCCCTCATGAGCTCCTTAAAAACAAAAGCTGCAGCTCCTTTTCTTTACTCTCTTGGCTCCTAATTCCTTGCGCAGAGCCAGTGCTCAATCTACGTTGATTGAGGGCTGACAAGAAATTGGATTTGTTTCCAAAAAGATTTGATATGCTCCTTCCCTGGTGGACTTTGAAATATAGGGTAGATTTTCAGGTGCGCAGTAAGTGGAGTGAGAACCTTTCTAGAAACGAAAAGGTAAATCGTGTGAGTCCCCCTGTCCAAGCCTGTGACTATATGAAAATAAGTGCCTTACTGACAGTGTAAAACTGAGAAAACACTCTTTTTGGCTTCCTTCATTTTAGACAAAGCCTGGCTTTGTCACACACACTCAGGTTTCAGAGAGCTCTGGCATAACAGGCAGCTTCCCCACTCGCACTGAAAGTAAACACAGACAGGCTCTCATCCCACAGAGGACAGAATGAGCAGCTTACTCCGGAAAGCGGAGGACAGATTGCCAGCATCAGCACAGAAGGGATCAGCTGCACCACAGAGGCGACCCTATTACTTCATGCACAGAGCCGGGCTTCCATCAGGGTCCTTCCATAAGGTCCTCGTCCCCACACTTACTGGCACATTGCCCTGGCCCACAGATAATGTACAAAATCTTGCCTTGCCTTTGCATGGCATTTTGCCTTGTAGGATCTCTGCTAAGCCTCTCGCCACCTTCCCTCATGGACAGAGAGAGGAAAGGCCCCCTTAGAGGGACCCCTGGGTGTGTCACTAATCCATCTGCCTGCTTCTATGTCACATTTAATTACTCACTCAATACAGAATTATCTGTACCGAGACTCCAGACTAATGAGATGCTGCGAAGCCTTCAAACTGGGGATTACAAACTGCAGCCTGCTGTACCAAGGTCGGTCTGAATTGTTCTAAAGCTCTGATTACTACGTGATCACCTTCTTTTTAACCTGAAACCCTTCAATTTTCATTTTTCAATAGCAAAAAATTTTAGAGTGCTTTGAAGGAGGCAAAGGGTACTGCTTGATTGTTTGTTTTAACTACATGAAAGCTTTAGTGATCAATATCTAAATCCTCAGAGCTGCACTGAAGCGAACTCCCTCTCAGTAATCTTCCCAATGGGGTATTTGACCTTTGCCTCAAGGGAGTAAGAAACTACACAGAACCTCTTGGTGGCATTTTGCAGGGAAATAATGCAAAGGTTAAATAGATAGTGTTTTAAATGTATCTGTATTTTTATATAGTTTAATAATCAGAAAGACCCCATGCAATCATTTTATCCTAATTCCTTATCATGTGGGTCTCTCAAAGGTAAAGACTTTGCATTCCACCATAGTTGCTGTGCTCTGGAAATACAGGGGGAGCAGAGAGCTCTCTGGACTTTAACTATACACTCCATATTCCTGTAGCATCTAATACAGTAGCTGCTAGTCACATGTGGCAATTGAACAGTTGAAATATGGATAGCCTGAATGCAGATACACTATAAGAGTAAAATAACCACCAGACTTTAAACTTTTAAGTATAAAAAAACAGATGATCAATTTTTTCTATTTGATTACATATTGAAATGATGTTTTGGATGTATTGGGTTAAATCAGTTTCTCAACTTCAGCGCTGTTGATTGTCATCTGGGACAGATATTACTATGTTGTGAGAGGCTGTCCCTCAGCACATTGCAGGATGTTTACCAGCATCCCATCCACTAAATGCCACTAACACCCTCCTAGTTGTGACAATCAAATATGGACCAATGGCATTGCCAAGTGACAGTGCTAGACATCAGCAAATGACTCCTAGGGAGCAAAATCTCTTCTGGTTGAGAACTATTGGGATACACAATATTTACTATTAAAATTAACACTATTATTTCATTTTACTTTTTAATGTAGTTACTGGAGAACCTAAAATTATACATGTGGCTTGCATCTGTGGCTTATATTCTAACCTGTGAGCATCTTGGGATTGAGATTCATGCCTTTTCATTGTTGCACCACCAATACTGAGAACAGAGTTCCTGAGGACCTTGTACTGGGGACAGAGTCAGTGAGTAATGCTTACAAATGGGATCGGTAGGCACTGGCCCACTGAGGACACTCAGGAGCATAGGAGCATAGGACAAACACTGGAAAGTCATAGATCAGGCCCGCAGGTGATAGAGGAACACACAAGCCCCGGAGTTTGAGAAAAAGTAAATTCTTAGTAATTGTTATGAAATCACAGGCCGTTCCTAATATCATAAATACCACTGGACAGAGACCACCTCAAGACCTCATGCTGTCTTTTAACTGAAAAAAGCTTTACCGGAGTCAAAACCAGTTTTGTTTTGTTTTTTGAATGTATCAGTTGAGGGCATCACATTTCAATCAGCACACAGGTTCCCAAGTCCCTTTGCCACTATTTTTTCTACTTTTCAGTCTGTTGCTTCCTCTCTTGGGTTTATCTTCCCACCCATCATGTCCCACTCAGACCATAAAATCCTCAAAAGTCTGCTGTTCTTAAATCACCTACCCCACCTTTCCACTCACCCAGGAGCTTCCAACCTGTTCCACTGTGGTCACATCTCCCAGGTTGTGAACTGTACTAATACCTCAACCCCCCACCTCCAGCTTTCTAAAAGTGGTCCCTTCCCAGTTCTTCTCCTGATAGACCTTAACTTATGTACATAGTTTACAGCTAAGGGCAGTCTCTGGCACCAGGTATCTCCCATTTCCTCTACAAGACTCAGGCCTCCTGTCACATACCCTACCACCATGTACCTATGCAGGAAAAGAAATTTTTGCCATGTCAGTTTATGTATTAGGTTCTTTTTGACTGAAAGTAACAGAGAACTCCCAACTCCAAATAGCTCATAAATAAGAGGTGGCCAGCACCACAGTTAATGTGGCAACTCATGACATAATCAAGGACCCAAATACTTTTTTCCTTTTTGTCTGATCATTCTTAATGCATCCAGTTTGTCCTTAGGATTTCTGCCTTCGTATCTGCAGCATTTCCAGGGCCCTTTCAGAGATAATGTCAAGAAGCAGAAAGGGAACTCTCTTCTCCCTGTGTCTCTGTAGAAGAGTGAGACAACATTTCTCCTAAGTCCTCAACATGTTTATCACATCTCATGAGCCATAACTGTATCATGTATCTATATCTAACCAACAACTGGTAATAAGAATGGGACCACTATGATTATTATCTTAGACAAGTGATACTCAGAGCATGGTCCTCAGCAGAATCAGCATCACCTAGAAAGTTAGAAATGCAAATTCTGACTCCACCAGAAATTACCAGTGGGTTCCAGTAATTATTGGTTGATTCCAAGGTGACTGATTCCAAGGCAGATTAAATTTGGGGAAGCACTGGGTTAAACCAATCAAGACCGGCTTCTGGGTGAAAGCCTGCCTCCCTTGAAACACGTGATCATGAAAAAAAAGTCTGGATGAACAACACTGGGGCTCCTTAATGAGGGAGAAAGGAGTGATAGAAAAATAGATGTTGAGGCCGGGTGCGGTGGCTCACGCCTGTAATTCCAGCACTTTGGGAGGCCGAGTCGGGTGGATCATGAGGTCAAGAGATCAAGACCATCCTGGTCAACATGGTGAAACCCCGTCTCTACTAAAAATACAAAAAATTAGCTGGGCATGGTGGTGCGTGCCTGTAATCCCAGCTACTCAGGAGGCTGAGGCAGGAGAATTGTCTGAACCCAGGAGGCGGAGGTTGCAGTGAGCTGAGATCGCGCCATTGCACTTCAGCCTGGGTAACAAGAACAAAACTCCATCTCAAAAAAAAAAAAAAAGAAAGAAAAGAAAAGAAAAATAGATGTTGAATAGGTAGGCAACATTATCTGTTAGAATCACCATGTAATTTTTCCCTTCTTTAAGACCCAGTCTTCTGGTATTACAAGCTTTCGTTGAACATATTCTCAGTAACCAATAACTGGCAAGTATATTTTCAAAGAACATTTTTTATATGCTTAGGAAAAGTTTCTATTTCTATACAATATCCAACCAAAACAACGACTCTTCAGCAATGCACACACAGTCTTTAAAATTATTTCCCATAAAGGGTTTTATGTTATCCTCAGGACAGTTCTGTACAAGAGA